GTACTGATATTGGCCGGTAGGTAAAATTTGCAATTTAAATAATAAAACTATGAACAGTACACTGTACATGTTTTATTTTGGCAATATGCATGAACCAACAATGCATCCTATTTACCTAACCTAGAATGGAAGTTTATTATAGTTGTTAATATAAATTAGCTACTATTAGGTTTGTATGATACCTTACCTTGTGATACCTTGTGAAGATTTCAGCCAAACGGCCTCAGCTGCAGGATTTGCCGCTGTGTCTTCCACACTGTTTCATACACCTTGGAATTTGCATGGCCAGTACAGTATATTATAGTGTGACCAGGTGTAGGAAAGTTCTTAGATAGGTCATATATGTGCATTGTGTTAGTCATTTGTTATGTGTAACATGATGTGACAGTGGCATCTGTCATTATTTATTGGAAAATTTTGGGACAAAAACATGAATAGGAAAATGATTGGTTAATATTGACGACTGACCCGTGGACGAGCTATTTGTTTTACTGCTTATTTTCTTACTTTATTTTCATCGGTGAGTTCTGATATGAAAATGATTTCTTGTGCATAATTAGGCGCCTAGGCGCTCACTACTTCATCTTCCCGGCAGTAATGCGTCCTCGCTCTTTGCCGCGCTAGCCTCTCATTCCCACTCCAGTTTCATTTTCAGCATGGTGTGAAGGTTGTTGCCAGTATTGTGGTACAGTTTCTAGTGCTTTTAAAGGAACTTGGCTTGAAAATGCCAAGATTAAACCCAGTATTGTACTTTTATTTATAAACATCTTTCTAAGAAAGTATACTTTTCATAGCAATGCTGTGAAATTGAATTGGGCTTGTGTGCAAAGTCTGCTGTATATGATGTACAGTACAGTGGTCCCTCGGTTAACGAATGGTCCAATTAACGAAATTTTGGTTTACGAATTAGCTCCTACAAGGATTTTTAGTTCGATTAACGAACAAAACTTCGATTAACGAAAGCCTTACGAGAAACACGTTTAGCTGTGTGCATCAGCTGATCAGCTAATCCGCCAATACAGTAATCGGTTCTATGTTTACATTCGTTTCCAGTGGAGTAAATATCAAGAAGGTTGTGCTCTTTAGTATTTTTGCATTTTTATATTAAAATTATTAGTCATGCAAAAATTTAGTTAACATAATGATAATATATGCAGTACAGGGAACTAGTTTTTGTGCGCCCATCAGCCGCTTGACTCACCCGTCAAAGCTTCTCTGTTAAACTTTATTTACAGTGGAGGAAACATCGAGTTTGTTGGTCTCCTGAGTATTTTTCCATTCTTACATTAAAATTATTGGTCATTCTGAAATTTAGTTACCCGGTAACATATTGATAATATATAGCGCACTGCAGTGTTGATTTAAATAAAATAATCTTTAATTACAGCTAGTGAACTAAAAATTTTATTGGTGAAATTACTGCATCAAGCATGGGTGAGAAAGATGATTACCTTCAGTGTTCCTCTCCAAAAACGAGAAAGGATTTTCATGTTAGAGAATCTGTCAGTCCAGAGGTTCCTGACATTATTATGGAAGGTGACTCGCCTTCCAAGAAGCATTAAAATGCTTCTCTTCTCCTTTCCCCACCCCAACTTCCTTTTCTTCTCCCCCTCCACCCCCCACTTCTAATTCCCATCATCATCAACCAGCAACATTCTACATACACACCTCAAAGTAAGTGTACAATATTGTACTGCATTTTGTTTACACTTTGTATGTACTTTTCTGTAAGTTGGAACCAATTACCCAATATCCCATTGAAATAATAGATTCAGTTAATGAAATTTTCAGTTAACGAACGTCTCTGTGGAACCAATTGTGTTCGTTAACTGGGGGACCACTGTACAGTAAAACCTCGATTAACCGACTTTCGGATTAACCGTCAATCCCGAACTCCTTAAAAAAAATGACGGGGATTAGCCCACCCGGGCACAGGTCACTGACCCACATCGGGGCCTGGGGGGCGATAATGTAATAATATTAATAATGATAATGATAATAATAATACAGTAATACAGGTTGACTATCAAAAATCCAGCAACCTCGGGACCTGAGAAGTGCCGGATTTTCGAAAATGCCGGAAAACTGATGGTTATATTTGCTGTATAAGTTTAACAGAAAATGACTACCTGTACAGTCCTTTAAACAAAGAAAATTAAACACTAAATGAAAAGCAAATGAAATTTTATTATATATGCTGTATACAGTACAGTTAACCCTCACTTTACGCGGTTAATGTAACCCGCAGGGTCCCGCGTAAAGTGAGAAACGCGTAAAGTGAATAACATAACATATGGGATTAATTGAAATAGAGTCCGGGCCGACCCCCAAACTCCACTTTTTGACGACACACAACTTTGTTGTAGTAAAAATTTTATCTTAACTTTATGATGGTATGAAAAAACAAGTAATATAGAAGAGGTTAGGTTAGGAAAAATAAAGGTTAACATAGGAAAAATAAAGGTTAGGTTAGAAAAACTAAAAGTTAGGTGGAACACTTACGGTATGGGTCGGCATACGGGGATGGAGGCTGGTTCCGAGGCAGAGGGCAGATTACTGGCCCTCAGGTGAATCACCATTACTAGGTGAATCACCATCACTGTCACTTACAGTTGTCAGGGCTTCCCTGACAAATCCCTCAAAGTCATCTTCACTGTCACTATCACTGGCTTGGGCTGGCTGTGGTGGGTTGCGGGCGAAGAACTCGGTTATGCTTTTTTGACGGCTGGTGTTTATGTTGTCGTGATACACCTTGATGTACGGCTCCATAGCCTGCACCAGCCGGGTATGGAAGACTTCATAGCGGTCATCGTCATTGTCGCGGGAAAGGAAGGACTTCATTTTCTCTGCACACTCCATGGCACCCTTAATATCGCTATGAGTTAAACTGTGTTCTTCGGAGAATGACGCACCTTCTTCCTCCTCTTCACTGACGTGATCTTCTTCCAACATCTCGTCGGCAGTCACTTCAGGATTTCTGATCACCTCCAGGATGTCGTCGTTGGTGGTCTCGGAGAAGCCTGGAACTGTAACAGTCTGCGCAGCTTCTCTGGCAAGGTCCATTGCTACTGCAACATTCTGAACCTCACCAGTCACAGATTGACTCCTCTCACCTGGTATTCCATGCAACACATGTCTCCATGCGTGACGAATTGTAGCAATAGACAGCTGATCCCATGACTCCACCAAGAAGTCCACAGCTTTCTTGATGTTAAATACTCTCCAGAATTGTTTGAACAGTATTTTTTGCTGTGCCAACTGTTGATCCTCATCTTCTTCGCTCTTGCTATCGGTGGTGGTGTCACTCAGGTTACGCAACTCTTCCCTGGTGTTGGTGTAGTCGTTCAGGAGTTTGAATTTTTTTGTTGAGAATGCAGCTTTTACATTACAGATTAACTCTTGGTCCATGGGCTGTAATATAGACGTAGTGTTGGGAGGAAGGAAGACCACTTTTACGTTGGGGTGACGATCTAACAGTAGGGGCGAGTGTCCTGGTGCGTTGTCCAGCAGCAACAAAATATTGAATGGCACATTCTGTCGCTCACAGAATTTCTTTACATCGGGAACAAAACAGTCATCAAACCAGGAGAGGGACAGTGTAGAGAACATCCACGCCTTACGTGCGGTCAGCCAGTGGACATTTAGCTTGGTCATGTCCATGGTTTTGTAGGCGTGCGGCTTGCGTGCTGTGTGGATCACCGATAACTTGAGCTTGCAGGTACCGGAGGCATTGGTGGTAAACAGGACGGTGATGCGTTCCTTCTGCATCTTCTGGCCCCGAATCCTGCTGGCATTCCTTACAACGAAGGGCTTGGAAGGTAGCTTTTTCCAGAAAAGACCAGATTCGTCCATGTTAAACACCTGGTCGTCACTGTACTGTCCTTCCTCCATAATCTCACGTAAAAACGGAGGAAATTCCCTAGCCGCAGCACGGTCAGCACTCGCTTCTTCACCACCAACGTTTATATTGGTGATCTTGTTCCGGATCTTAAACCTCTGTAACCACCCAGAGGAAGCATTAAAGGGTTTGGGCTCTGTAATTCCCATCTTTCGTGCCACTGCCATGTACAGTTCATGTGCGTAGTCTTTAACAGAGCGTGTGTCGACCGCCATGTTCCGTCGCGCCTGACGCACCAAGTATACCTCACAAGTAATTTTTCTGTCTTGAGAAGCACCTGGTTGTGAAAATACTTGATCATAGAAGCACCTGTAGACTTTGTGATGTTCATGTGCTCCTTTATCTTGGCTGCATCCTTCTTTATTGTTCAAATCATAGATTCATTCACACCAAGCTGGCGCGCCAAATCAACCTGCCTTGTTCCTTTCTCCAACTCTTGGATGATGGTATACTTCACCTCGTAGCTTAAGGAACGTCGTGTCTTCTTTGGCTTAGTGCCGCTGGGTCCAGGTAAGAAAAGGTTTCTCTCTGGGGGTGGTGGTCCGGCGGAAGCCATTTTACGGAACAATGGATGCACGTTTACACGGTGTGGCCTTGAGGGATGAAACTGCCGCGGCTAGGTCAAGCGTCGTCTTTCCTCCCTCCCTCCCTCCCCTGGGTGGACACGTCATAATACTTTAAGCCAATTACAGCTAGCAGCAGAGGGGGGTAGGGATGCATGGCCAATCACAGTCCGATACGTCATATGACGTCAGTGATAACGCAACAAAGACACACACTGCGCAACCTTACCGCGTGGCTTACCCAAGCGGAGGGAGGAGGAGGGAGAGGCGAGGAGCACAGGCGGGCGGGTGGCGGATGGGGCGAATCTAAATATAGCCTCGCGCTGGACACTCCGCGTAATGAGGTTCACGTACCGCGTAATGTGAGCACGTTAGGTTCCGGCAGGGCACCGCGTAAACGTGGAAACGCGGAATGCGGGACCGCGTAAAGTGAGGGTTAACTGTATATTTAACAGAAAATTACTACCTGTACAGTCCTTTAAAAAGAAAGAAAATTAAACACTAAATGAAAAGCAAATGAAATTTTAATGTTTTCCAGGCTAAACAGCAGATGGGCTGTCAGGATTATCATCTTTATCACTGACAGTGACAACATCCTCAGCAACAGGAACAGCTTCAACTTGTCTTGAAGTTGATGGCAGTGGATTATCAAGTGTGGACACCGCTCTTGCTTCTTCCTGTTTCCTAGCTATTTTCTTGAATATATCGTGCAATGTCTGTTGCTTCATATTGGGTCTTTCTCTAATAAGTTTATCTTGGAGCAAGAAAACATTCATGATTTCTTGTTCACTTACAAAACTTCGTTGCTCTAGTCCAGCCAGCAGTTCAGTTGTCAACGTAATTAACTTGTCAATAGAGATTCTGTCTCACATCTTCCTCATTTTCTTCACTGCTTTCATCTTCATCACTACCTGTACAGGCATTTCTCTCCGGACTTTTAACCATATCTACAATTTCAGAATCCGTGTAATGATGAACTGTAGGCACATTATCATCAACATCCAACCATTCTGTTAAAACATCTTCATTTATCCTTGATGAAAGCTCCTTGGCATCAGGATTAGTTACATCTTTAACATAAGCAAGAAGTTCATGTATAAGTTGCTTTTCTTTGGAAACCCTAAACCAGTGGTTCTTAACCTTTTTACTACCACGCCCCCTCTAGGAATTGGTCCTTCCCTCCACGCCCGCCTTGCATCTATGAATAAAATTCCCTCCCAGATTTTAAAGAAAACTGAAAAATATTGTGTTTTTAGTCTTTTTATTGAGTATAAATTAGTGAGATACTTGACACTGCTTCTTAGCTACTAGATCTTGAATGCGTGGTTGAATGCCAGAGAGAGCACAACGTAAATCCCCTTCAACGTTCAGCCTGTTTCTGTACTTGGTCTTGACAGCAACGAGCGTGGAAAATGCAGCTTCACAAAGATACGTGGATCCGAACATAGTTAGAATCCGAAGAGCCTGGTGTGAGATCAGAGGGTAAACAGGAAGGTACTTGACCCAGAACGTCTCAAGATCCAGTTCTTTGAAGTCTTTCTTAGCTGTGGAGTTCAACTTCAACTCAAGAAACTCCTCTTGCACTTCATCCGAAACATCAGCTACTTCACATTGAAATGGGTTCCTGATGAATTTCCAGGCTTCACGCTTCTCAACTATCTCTGGGAAGTATCTGATGAATTCTGTTTTCAAGTCAGTTAGATGAGTGATTACTTGTTTCTTTAACTCAGAATCAAGGTTACCGTGAATGAGAGCAGAATCCAAGTTGCTAAAACTGGCTGTATTTCCCTGCTGAATTCGACACTTCCAGAGGTCGAGTTTGGCCATGAAAGTTCGAATGGTGTCGTGGTGCATGATGATGTTGATGTTTTTCCCTTGTAGTTTAAGGTTGAGAGCATTCAACGCTTCGAAGATGTTCACCAGGTAAGCTAGAGATAGCTGAAAGCCTTCAGACTGGAACTTGTCATGGAGATCTGCCTTCTGCTTCGAATCAAGAAATATTGCTACTTCTTCTCGTGGTTCATAAAGCCGTCCAAGCATGTTCCCCTTTGATAGCCATCGTACGTTCGTGTGAAAAAGCAAGGTTTCGTGTTCAGAATCCATATCCTTACACAGCAGTTTCAAGAGACGACTGTTTAAGGCTCCAGCTTTGATAAAGTTGACTACCTTGATAGCCACGTTCAGGACATCCTTCATTTCAGCAGGTAAAGTTCTGGATACTAAGGATTCACGATGAAGTATGCAGTGTGTATCTACAACAGACGGATTTTTTCTTTCACCATTGTAATGAATCCAAACTGCAGACCAAGCATGGCTGGAGCTCCATCAGTGCACACCCCTACCAGCGAGTCCCACGAAAGTTGGTCTTCCTGAAAGAAGTTTGATACAGCATGAAAAATAGCTGCTGCTGTTGTACAACATTCCATGGGGTGACAGAACAGCATTTCCTCTTTTACACTGTTGCCTGATACATACCTCAACAGCCTTAACTGAATAAATGTGAGAGAAGAGGAATTATTGCCACGGACGTGTGCAGAAGACTGGGAGAAAACGGGGCTCACCAGTCACCAACGAGCAGTATACAGGTTCAGGACGAGTTACACCCCATGGGTTTCGAGGGATAGGGAGGGGGGTCAATAAGTACAGAAAATGGTAAGCCCTAAGACAAAAAAGTAGCCTAAAGAAAACTAGAGTTATAAGGCGACACTTTTGCATTTTTCATAAACTTCTCAATATTAGCCCACGCTCTTGTTAAGAGAATAAAAACTATAATTATAATTAGAGAAATTCCTCCTTTTTCCCTAGGGCTTGCGCCCCCCCTGGAAATTACTGACGCCCCCCAGGTTAAGAACCACTGCCCTAAACCCTGCAAAATCATTTTCTGTGTCTTCGTTAGAATGAGAAGTAAACATTAAACTTGGCCACAATTTATGCCATCCATTTTTCAGTGTTGGTGTTTTAATAGACTTCCAAGCATTGGCAACACAGTACACTGCATCCTTAACCCTTTGGATGCGACATGCGGGTAAACCCGCCCAAAATATTATATTAATTAAATGCGACAAGCGGGGATATCCCACGGCCATGAAAAAACTTCCCCAAATGAGACGACATGCGGACATATTATGTATTGAGGTATAGGAGTATTTCCTGAATGCAATATAGCTTATTTTTGTACTATTTTGTTTGATATTATCTGAATATGTAATACATATCTAAATTTGCTGTTTAGTAACTAAATTGATTAAATTTATTTGCCATATACCAGACATTGATTTATACCAATTTCCTGCATTTTTGGGTATAAATGTCATTTTTTCTCTAAAATTTGCACACATATGTGAATTTTTGTTCCAGATTTGGAAAATATACTAAAAGTTCTCTAGGAAAAACATATAGAAAATGTGATTATATGAAATTCATTTTTGGCAGGATAATTGACACTTTTCAGGAACCGGCGCGAAATTTAATTACGCACCTAAAGGGTTAATGTTGAACTCTTTTATGAATTTCTATACTGGGGTGCCTGAATTAACTGAACTCACTAGGCGCCTCATTAACAGGGATCGATACTTACACTTCATAGAACGTATGATACCATTGTCCTGTGGTTGAATTAGTGATGTGCAGTTGGGTGGGAGGTAGGCAACAAAAACATTATACTTCACTAGAAGATCGGCTTTTGGATGTGCCGAACAATTGTCTAAAATAAGAAGTATCTTGCATTTAGGGTCTAGTCCAACTGAGTTACAGTGAGCCCTGGCCTCAGGAACAAAACATTTATGAAACCAATGCAATGTAATATCAGTGGTAACCCACCCCTTCTTGTTGGCACGGTAATGGACAGGAAACCGTGTCATACCCTTAAAGACCCTCGGATGTAAACTTTTTCCGATAACAAGCAACTTACATTTATGGGTACCCGCAGCATTAGAGCAGCACATTACCGTGACGCGATCCTTCGAAGCTTTAAACCCCGATGGCGATTCTGCATCCTCAGTTGTCAGAGTTCTTTTTGGCGTACATCTCCAAAATAAGGCAGTCTCGTCAGCATTGTACACTTGTTCAGGACTTAAATGTTCATCACTAACTAACTTTGCAAATTCATCCACATAGGCACTAGCTGCATCCTTGTCTGCTGAATGTTTTTCACCACATACTGCACGAAAATGTAAGCCATGTCACGACTTGAAACGTTGCAGCCAATCTTCTGTATAGTCACACTTGTGTTGCAATCCCAGCTTTTCATGAAACACTTTGGCTTGTTCCTTTAATAAATCACCAGAAATTTCCACACCTTCACTTACACGAAGTTTAATCCAGGTTATGAGAACTTGGTCTAGCTCCGCACTTTTTCCCTCCGACATTGACTTCCTTACAAACATTTTCCTTTTTGATCCACTGTCAGAAAAGAACTTTAACAGTTTTTCTTTGTTTTTAATATCATACACTGTTGAAGAGCCGATGTTGTATGTTTTACAAATGGTTCGCACAGACACGCCGCTATCAAGTTTTTTAAGCACTTCCACTTTCTCTGCGATCGACAACGCACGATGTTTACGTTTTACGCCACCGCTTTTCTTTACTGAATCCATGATGGGGCTATACAGCAGCAATTAAATGATAAAATCAGAAGGAATGAGCATGAATGCTTGTTAGCAGGTGCAAGCAAGACCCAACAGCTGATTCTGGAGTACAGCGCTATCAAAACATAAACGGCGCGTCCAGAAAACAATGGTGCGCCAAGGCAGGAAATTTGAAAATGCGCTCCGAAATCCATGCCGGAAAACTGAAGGTTCCGGTTTATCGATTGGCGGATTTTTGATGGTCAACCTGTAGTAATAAAGAACCATAAAGAAATGCAAAAATGAAAAAAAACAAGAGTGAGAAACAATGTACCTGTATGTATGTTGTGTTGTCAATAGTATGAGAAACAATTGAGACCCTGCAATTGTGTGTAAATGAGGCAGAAAGTCAGATCAGCAACTTGAGACTTGGTCACAATTTTTGTGATGACATATGTTCTTTGACTTTTCCATTTTTTATTCACGGTTTCTGTGCTGGTTCATATTTATTTACTAAAGTGGTTAATGTTTTAAAGCAAATTCTATTGAAATATGAATGGCAAATGAACAAAAATGAATAGAGGGACTTAAATGAGGTAGGTTAGGGAAAGGTACTTTGAAAATGTATGTTTTATTTCCGTAGACTTTATGTACTATTAACCGACCTTTTGGATTATCCGTAGGCCTCTTCCCCCCATATGTGGTCGGTTAATCGAGGTTTTACTGTATTTCAAAACACTCCATCGCCTAGGCTGGATCAAAGCCGATGTTCTCACGTCCACAAAAAAAGTAAAATTACACCATATACTGTAGTAAGTTCTTTCTGTTTAATATACTGGGGGATCCGGTAAGGAGGTTAGGTAGGTTTGTTTGGTTAGGTTGGTGAGGTCTGTTTTTTCATATCCATGATGGTTACGTTAAGTTTAATTTAGAAATAACCACTTTTTAACACATTTGCACAAACTACAACAGTGTCCACTCTAAAAAACAGTGAAATTGCGGCATTTTTAAAATCGTTTTCTATGAAAAGTGGGCCGTGGGTCAGTCGTCAATAATTACCAAATTTTTATTTCTATATCTGATTTACTTTATTCATGAGATAAGATATATATGTGTAGTAATAATAGTAATAATAATAAACGGTTTATTAATAGAGTTGCAGCCGGTGGCTGAAAATTTACAGATTTACATTTGATTTACAGGGCTGTACAGTACATAAATCAGGAGTTGTTTATTATTTAAACAATAGATGGGATGGTGCTATTCTTATATCTATCGGTGCGCGCTCTTATGGGTCAGTCGTCAATAATTACCCAATTTTTATCTCTATACCTGATTTACTTTATTCGTGAGGTAAGATATATATGTGTAATAATAATAATAATAATAAACGTTTTATTAATAGAGTTGCAGCTGGTGGCTGAAAATTTACAGACTTACATTTGATTTAGACATAATGATATAATATGCATTGAATATATTTACAGGGCTGGACAGTACATAAATCAGGAGTTGTTTATTATTTTAACAATAGATGGGATGGTGCTATTCTTATATCTATCGGTGCGGGCTCTTATGGGCTGAATTTTATTGTAGTGCCAGACTGCGAGAGGTGGGTGGGGGGCTGCCGGTGGCAGGAGGTGGCGATGACGAGGATGGTACAGTAGTCCACTGCCAAACCTTTCAAGTGCTTGGTGGTGGAGGTCACTGAGGGATGGCATTTCCAGGGTGGAGAGAGCGTTGGTGTAGCCGGAGTATTCTGCGCCGAGCATGATTCTGCAGGCCTTTTCTGTACCTTCTCTGGCCAGCGTTGTTGGGTGGGGTGAAAACGGCAAACTGGTAGCGTTTGCGGGCGTGGTGCCGTGAGCCTAAGTAGATGGTAGCATGTGTAGGCAGTGATAGCATACACAGACAATGAGGGCGGCAAGCTGGCGGGGATGGGAGGTGGGAGTGACCTGAACCCACAAGGCTTCTACATCTTCAGGTACATTAACACCTAGGGGTGATGGTTTGAGGTCACTGCACCCCCACCTCTCCTGTCCTTTCTAAGGTGGTGAAATAACTCATAGTGTGTGTGTGTGTGTGTGTGCCGCTTAACGTCCTAGATATGTTCTTGGAAACGTGACGTTAACCGAATTGGACGCTGTCCGAACATCACATTGTGAACTTTGTATTTATACTTACGTGTATGTGGAATATTGCACACAACGTACACAACTAATGAAACACAGAGGTTAAGAAGGCTAATAAAATAACATAATATCTACATTAGCTTATATATTGTAGTAAAAAAATACAGGTATAATATACATACAGTAAAACAGGTACAGTACTGTATAGTAAAGTAAAATTAAACAGTACACTGTTCACTGATTGAGAGGTAGATACAGTATCGTCTCCTTAAATCTGATGTACTTTTCTCATTTCTGTATACGTACTGTATACAGTAAATTAAAATTAAGAATTAAATTTTAAAATTATTTAAAGTGTTACACTGGATGCTGATAATGCTGCGGCGCTGCCGATGAGGCAAAACCAAGCATACACTGTTATACAGTTTGTAAACTTTTTATTTCGTAAGTAAGGAAATCAAATAAAAAGTACTGTACTGTACACTACAATAGCCAAAAACATAAACCAGTAACAGGCATTTCTTATATCTATCAAAACATATTATGGATATATAGTTACTGTATTGTATCATTATACACCTGGCAGCACAATCTATTTTGTTTAAGAACACGTGATGCATGCGTGAGCGCGCCCACTCTAAGGCCACTTACGTTCGCTATGTCCCGTTGTCTGAACAGGTTTTTTTTTTTTTATCCCCATTATGTTCTTATTATTTTTATGGGCCACGGACGTATATGCGATCTTCAGAGGCAACTGAAGATGTCTTCAATAAAAACGAAAGCTAAGGTGCTCCATTGTTTCCATTTTCCCTGTGTGATTTTATCAAGTTTTATCTTATCCACGTTTTCATTGTGGATCTACATGATGTGTGTGTGTGTATATATATATATATATATATATATATATATATATATATATATATATATATATATATATATATATATATATATATATAATGTAATAATAATAATAATAATATGTAATAACTATATATATATATGTAATATGTGTATGTATGTAACAACAATATTGTAACAATAATATGTAACAACAATAACAACAATAATAACATGTAATAACAACAATAATATATATATGTATGTAATAACTGTATAACAACAACAATATAATAATATATATAATAACTATATATATGTATAATATAGCAACAATATGTAATAACAATAATATATATATATATATATATATATATATATATATATATATATATAACATATATATATATATATATATATATATATATATATATATATATATATATATATATATATATATATATATATATATATATATATATATATATATATATTAGTCCCTTGGTGCTGTTTAATTTTGTTCCAGAAGGTCTTTCGTTAACCGAAACCATTGTTTCAATGGGATTTTGGGTAATTGGTTCTAGCTCACCGAAAATTACATACAAAGTAAAAAAAATGCAGGAAATTACACTTACTTTGAGGTGTGTATGTAGAAGGCTCCTGGTTGATGATGATGAGAATCAGAAGTGGGGGTGGAGGAGAAGGGAGAAGAGAAGGAAGTGGGGGTGGAAGAGAAATCACCCCATGCTTGATGCCGTCATTTCACCCATAAAATTTTAAGTTCACTAGGTGTAATTCAAGATTATTTTCTTTAAATCAACACTGCACTGAACTGTATATTGTCAATATGTTAAATAAATTTCAGAATGACCAATAATTGTACTGTAAAAACGTAAAAATACTCTGTGTTCAGAAGACCCACAAGCAAGATGTTTCCTCCACTGAACAGAGACACAATCTAAGGCCTTGGTGGGTGAGTGAAGTGGCTGATGGGTGCACCAAAAACTAGTGTTAAAATGACTAGAAATTTTAATATAAAACTTGGAGAATTATTGAATAGTACAACCTTCTTGATATTTACTCCAATTTTAATGAATGTAAGCCCTAGAACCGATTTCTGTATTGGCGGACTAATCTTCCAGCTGGTGAGCAAGCTTAAGTACAGTGAGTTCTGCTATAAAGCGTGTTTTGATAACGCGAATTTGCTCTAACGTGATTTATGAATTAGGAACGATATTTGTATAACGCGAACGCTTGTTTGCTATAACGCGATTTTTGCTTACTATTTCTCCAATTTTGTGGTACAGTGGGGTATGCTATAACGAATCTAATTGGTTCTAGAACCTTGTTCGTTATAGCATTCATTCGTTATAGGATTAATCCGTTCCAGGCCCCCAAATACAACCACTTAACACTGAAAAATATAATATAAAATTGTAAAAATTGTAAAAAAGTGCATAAATATGCATCTAAACCCCTGAAATAAAGAATATCATTAATATTTGTAATAAAAAAACAATAAATTAGAAAAAAAAAAATTAAATAATGTGTATATAGTAAAGAAGAATATCAACAAGAAGCGTTCTGGTGATAGAATTCCCGGTGATGATCGTAAAAGAAAGGATATAACACTTGAAGAAAAGCTCGATTTTATCAACCTCAAAATCACCCTTCTCCCCCATCAAGTAAAGTGTTACATTTACTGTATGATTTCATTATTAGATATGAATGTAACATTTATTTAGACTGTGCTATCCTTTGTGTTAGGCTAACTACTAAATTTTTTCGATTTCGAGTAATCTGCACCTAACCCTATTTTCTCCATAAGCCCTG